CGGTTTTGTTAGTCCATACAAGACATTAATGTCATTCGGTGGTCATTTAGTACGTGAGATCAGAACAATAATCTCGAAAATCGAAAGAAAATTTGGAATTAACTTTATCCATATTTGGTTACAATATTAATTAGTCCCAACATTATTTTATCCCACCAATTGTACGAAAATAGTGGAATAGTAATCCCATAGAGAAGACACGATAAACTAATAATCTCAAGTGTATTCTTGTCTATCACATTCCGCATACTGAACAACCATAGTGAATAAAGGCCATCAGTAACAAGCCCATATATCAAAACTATACACTAAAAAAAACAGAGCAAATTGAGGATTTAGGGCAAAATTGCTCAACAATTTTTCCAAGAAGATTGAATAACAATTCTCATCTTGAGTCTGAGTATCACAAATCCTAATCGCACCATTAAGGTTTGTACTCTATCGTTGCTTTCTTCTTAACTAATTTAGCTCTTCAATTCTTCATGTTTTTGATGATTTGAAATTTTTTCGATTGTTTGTTACCAGATTTCACAAAATTACTTTAATTATCTCTAGAAGAAATTTATGCCAGTATTTGAAGACCTATATTTCTCTTCTTTTTTTCAATACTAAAAAAATAGTGAATACCGATCTAAAAATCACCGACCTCAAATGGAAGTCTGTAATTTCCGACCTCCGGAGGTCGGTATTGTTAAGAAGAATAAAAAATTAAAAAAACTTTAGAAAATCGACTACAAGGAGTCGGGTTTTATGCAAAATAAAGCGGAAAAACTAAATACAGACCTCAGGAGGTCGGAATTTTTCCCGAAAAAAATGAAGTATAATAAAAAGTGACCTCTTGATGTTGGTATTAAATAAATAAATAAATAGCAATATTTTATTTTTTTCTCAATTAAATATAAAAAAACAAAATTGAGAAATATTTTGAATTAATTTTATTTAAATCGTCTTTCGGAGGATGGTTTTGTGTAAAATAAAAAACAAAAAAAATTATAATACCGACTTTCGAAAGTCGGTAAAATTAAATAGTATGTAATTAAATTAATTTTCATTAAAATATTTATATAGTGACTTCCAGAAAATTAATATTTTCAATTAACTTTAAATAAATCGTCCTCCGGATGACAGTTTTATATAAGTTAAAAAATAAATTAATATAAAATACCGACCTCATGAGGTTGGTATTTTTTATTTAATCTAATTACTTTTAATAAAAGTGACATCTGGATGTCGGTTTGTTTAAAATATTCCTATTAATCATAATTTTGCGGGAAAATGCATAAGTACCCCCCAACATATGCCCAAAATCTCTGAGACACACCTAACCTTTACTAAGGTCCTATTACCCCCCGAACTTATTTTATATATAATTTTCTACCCATTTTCGGCCTACGTGGCACTTTCTTGTAGGCCCAATGCGTGTTGACAATTTTTTCAAGGATAGTGCCACGTAGGCCGAAAAGGGGTAGAAAATTATATATAAAATAAGTTCGGGGGTAATAGGACCTTAGTAAAGATTAGGTGTGTTTCAGGGATTTTGGGCATAGGCTAGGGGGTACTTATGCATTTTCCCTAATTTTGCTATTGTGCATAATACTAAATTTTCATTTTACACCTACAATTAATTATTTCAAAAAGTGTAACAATTTTGTATACTTTTATAAATAAAAAGTTAGAATTCGTGGAATAAAAAAAAATATCAATAATCCATATTTAGAGTATGAAACTACGTTGTTATGAATTAGGAGATAATTATACTTATATTTCTAGAGTAATGTACAAATTTTATCGATCCGCCGTCAAATCATTAACTTAATATCTCATGTAATGATGTAGAGGTAAAGAGCTAACATATAATTTATTCGAGTATGAAATGCGAGATAATACTCGTAAAGATGTCATGATAACAATTAATTATAAATTTTATATTTATATAATTAATTATTTAATTATTTGTACGTATATAACCTTCAATGTCTTACTTGGTTTTATGAAATAGACAATAGAACATCGTAAATTACTGTACAAAGCAAGTTCTATCAAGATTATTACATTCGATCTTGAATGGATGTCAAGTGTAGTGATCATATCGTAGGCAATGACATGTAAAGGATAATTCATTGGAGTATCATGAAATACATTGATTAATTATATACTCCTCGAGTAGTTTAACAAATCAAATCTTATATATTAGTGGTTCAGATATGAAATAAATTATCAATTAAAGAAATACCGATGATCAATTCAAGGAGATTTATATATTAAATTTGATATTGATAAACTTCTGTTGATCGATAAAATTAAATTTATAAAAATGTGTAGTTAAATTAAATATATAAATATATTAGTTAATATTTTAAAAAATTATAGAGTATTCACTGCTTAAAAACAGTATATACAACTTATTCCGCAACCCTGTTTAATAGAAACAGCAACTAAAAATAAAATAAAATATATATATATATATATATATATATATATATATATTAGTTAATAAAATCGACCTCAAGAGGTGAGTTTATTAAAATAAATTAATAAATACATATTTAAATTATTAATTTATTTAAATAATATCGACTTCACGATATCGATATTTATTAAATATTTTTAAGTATAAATAATTATTTTAAAAGATACCGACATCCCGTTAAATTAATACTTCTTTTACCGACCCTGTCATTTTTTCTCCCCTAACCTCTCTCACGCCCGACCCAACCCAACCCTGACCCACCCTCGACCGGCGCTCACCTCCACCCATCCCCGACCGGCGCTACAGCAGCAGGTCGAGCCACCATCCCCGACCGGCGCGCCGCCTCGATCATCAGCAACAGCAACAGCAACAGGTCGCAGCAGCAGCGCAGATCGGCGGCAGCTGCAATCTCCGGCAACAGCTACAAACAGAGGGAGTATACATCAAAACTCATTTGGCAGCAGCGAACTCCGGCAGTGATGGTAAGTTTATCTTACTTGATTAATTTTTAATTCAATCTTCTCCTATCTATTCATGTGGGTGTTCTTTCTTTTTCTATGTTGATGTTTGTTCCTTCTAGTTTGTTCTTTGATCGAAAAGAAGTCTCATCATTCGAATAAGAGTATGTTGTTAGTTGTGATCGCGCAGCTGATGATATAAGCCTATAAGGCCTAGAATAACATGAACTAATGAATAATCTTCAATGAAATGCAATTGTGTGTTGTATCAACATTTTGTATGGATTATTTCAATCAACTGTTCCTTAATCCTAAAAAAGTTCGAGGTTGACTATATGAATCTGTCCATACTGACATGCTCTGTTTTATTCTGATTTACACAACTTTCCTGGCAAACAGCAGGCCTATTATAAGTTTTAGTTGCTTGGACTCTCTAAAAACAGTTGTACCTATGTCGAATCCAAAAAGTAGTACTGTGCCCGCATGAGTTTGATCCTCAAAAGATAATACTACTTTTTGGAGGATCTTGTTGGGAAAAATCACACAAATAATATTCACAATTATCTATGTTGAATAATAGTTATTGAATCTTTCAAATCATTTGTTTCTAAATTTAGGAAATAGGCAGTTGAAAAGGTTGATTTTTCTATGTTGTGTTTGTGCCATGTAGTTACTAATAATTATTGAATCTTTTTCTAGTGTTGAAAGGGTTGATTTTGCCTGCTAGGCAATTGAGGAAGCTCAACATCTAAAAAACGTTGATACAAGCTTCTTTCATCAAAGTAGGAGATAAGGTTTGGTGTTTCTAAATTTCTAAAGTTCAAGTACAATTGTTTTTTATAATGTGTTTGTGTCCATCTAGTATTGATACTTAGCTTTAATTTTGTGATAATTTGTTTGTGTCCATCGAGTGTTTGTTTAGCATAAGTACCAACACTAGTTGATCCTATTGATGACAAAATTGATTTTCTTGCAAGATCGAATTGTGTCCATCTAGTGTTGACACTTAGCTTTAATTTAGAAATATAATATTTGTTAAGCATAAGTATCAACACTAGTTGATCCTATTGATGACAAAATTGATTTTCTCTTGCAATTTGTGTCCATTTAGTGTTGATACTAAGCTTTAATTTAGGAATAATGTGTTTCTTAAGCATAAGTACCAACACTAGTTGATCTTATTGATGACAAAATTGATTTTCTTGCAAGATCGATTTGTGTCCATCTAGTGTTGATATTAAGCTTTAATTTAGGAATAATGTGTTTGTTAAGCATAAGTACCAACACTAGTTGATCCTATAAGGCCTAGATAACTTTGTTTGATATATTTGTTCGACATTGTGACATTATTTTGTACTACTCTGTTTTAAATCTTTATATTTAATTGATATAGATGGTAGATAAAGACAAGGGTAAATCAAATATATCCGCTAATCCAAAAAAGAAATTTAAGGTCAATGCTATTAGAAGGCCCACTGGGGTCGTGATATCTGATGAGCCCTCTCGAGTTAATATTTCAAAACGAGCCTCAGTTTCAGCTACTCACTCGGTACACCATTCACAAAATGCCTCTATTCATGTGGGTTGGTATTCACATTTCTTTTAGTAGCGTCTGTTTAAAAAGATCTTTTAATGAGCTCCAATGATCACAAACAGTAATTCTGACAATTTGTGAATTACTTCTCAGAATTGTAGAATTGTTAATTAACAGTAAAATGGAGCTAATTTCAGCTAATATACACAATGGATTTACAACAGCTTAGAACAATGAGACCCAATCGATTTGCACCAATCAGCTAGAGTTTGAGTTAATCGAAGATAATTCTAGTAGAGAATGAGAAGTAGAAGTAGATAAGAACTAGAAAAGAAAAGAGAATAGGAAGATACTTCTATAGAGATTATTAAAACCTTTGCCTTTATTAAACAGTTCAAAATTGTGAAGTTGAGAATAATTAAGGTTGCAAATAATTTTTATGCGCGAAAATTTCAAGAATATATTTGGTTATTTAAATTAGATAGGTTGCAGTTACCTTTCTAATTTTATTTTTTTCATGTATTGCAGTTGTTTATCAAACCTGAACTTTGGAAGTACCAAACGCCCAACCCCTGACCTTAATTCCCTCCTTATTATCTCCATCCAGGAGCTGATAAATTCCACAAAATCTCAATGGCTTCAAAACTCTCTTCTTGTTTAGCTTCTCGTCTAGTTTCCCATTGCCTTCGTTCTGCCGTCACTGGCGCTGCTGCCGCAACCACCGCTGCTCTATCCAAATCTCACCCTTTGATTTCAGTTTTCCACCACCAATCGCAGCCATTAGTATTTCCCCATTTCAATACCAACCAAACTGTTTTCACCCTCAGATCCTTCTCTACACTCTCCCGGCCTGCACGATCTCACCGTTCAGCTCGGCCTGATATTGCAGCCAAAGCCCGGCAACTCCAAACCCGCCGTCTGTGGACCTATGCCATCACATTCAGCTGCATAGCAGGATTCATAGTAATAGTCCTTAACCAATTCCAAGACCAACTTGTATTCTATTTAACCCCTACAGATGCTCTAGCAAAACATGCTGAAAACCCTACAAGATCCAAATTTCGACTTGGTGGATTAGTACTAGAAAATAGTGTAACACCAATACCCAATTCCCCAGAAATGGAATTTGTGATAACTGATTTGATTACTGATATTTTGGTTAAGTATGATGGGTCATTACCGGATCTTTTTCGGGAAGGGCACTCCATTGTAGTAGAAGGGTTTATAAAGCCATTTACTGAAGAGATGAAGAAGAAAGAGAATGAAATCTTGAGTGAGAAAAAGTTACAGCTAACTGAGAAGGCGAGAAGTGGGGATTGTTACTTTGCAGCTACTGAAGTGTTGGCTAAACACGATGAGAAGTATATGCCTCCTGAAGTTGCAGCTGCACTTGAGAAGAATAAGCAGTTCCTTAGTCAGATGGAAGGGAATGAGGAAGAGGGTGATGATGCAGCACCTCCAGCTACAGTGAGGGCGTAAGGCTCGGTCAATTATAGAGTATGGTAAAAATTCTAATTGATTATTTTCCCGAAATGATGGAGTTTTGTTAAATTTCAATTATGATTATACTATTGAAGGAAGTTAGAAAAATGAAGGGATATATAGTTGGTTTACTGAGGTTATACAATGAATTTTGTTGTCATAGATTTTATGTCCTGTACTAACCCTGAGGAATGGGGTTTCAGTTTTGAAATTTTGGAATATTTAGTGAATAAATGACAGTAATTATTTTTTATGAAATCGGGTGCTTGTAATTCTTTGTGTACACTCAATATAGAGGTTATTGGAGAAAGAAATAGAGAAGAAATCACTTCCAAGTTTCTCGTCCATGTTTCCTTATTATTGTGCAGTTCTATCATTACTTGTAACCCCATTTTTGACGCCTCCAATTTTTCATTTGTTGTGTGTTGATACCTGTAATGTTAATTTTTTGTTATTTTCTTGCATGAATCTGCACATGGTCTATTTGCTTTTTAACCCATGTGTTGTTATTACCGTTCTCTTCTGTGTTACAGTATTTTCCTTGCCATATGTGATTTTATCATGCTTTACTTGAGCCGAGGGTCTATCGGAACGCACCACCCTCACATTGGGTATGTCGTTGTTATTGTGACTCTACACATGGTCTACTTGCTTTCGGTGGCAACAACCATACCAGCAACCTCTTTCACGGAAATAGCACTAGAAGTGTTGTGGTCGTTAATTCTTTTATTCATGTTATAGGAACAACAATGAATGTGCTTTCATATGATGGTTTAAATCCGTATGGAGTTGAGAAAGAAATAAACACAAGACTTGTGAAACACGTGGTCTCAAATATGGCATAGCATTTGTGTGGTTATAAACCTTTTGAAAGTAGTGGCTTTAAACATGCCGCCATAACATTTGCGCAGTTATAAAGCTAATTGTTTCCAAAATTTAGAATTGTGTCATTCTTTTTGAAACTGACTAAAAGGAAAGTTTGTAACATGAACTGGAAGGGAGGGAGTGTAAAATGTTAAATCCTAGTCATGTTATCATTGGCTTGAGTCTCTTGAAAGTTGTAGACTCAATAGTGTTTAAAGTGAAATCTCTTAGAATATTTTGCATCATTAATCATTTGCCATATCTGGCATGAGAATCAAAGTTTTGACAGCAACTGGCTTAACCTTTAGTGTCATGAAACATTCTCTCTGCTCCAGTGTACAATGTTTTCATCTCTTTAGGTGTAGGCCTAAAGAGATACACCCTTTGTACACCCACGTCCCTACCCCTCGGAATTGTGTATTAGCAGTTTTTATATTTAGGCGTAGTTTTGAATAGTATAGGTAATTCAGAAGAAGATCAGGACTTAGATCAAATGGACAGAGTTCCTTGAGATCTGTCTTCGGCCAAAGTGTAGATAAAGGAAAAAGGAAGTTACCACTGCCCTTTATAGTTCTAAAGGGAAGGAGAGCATTAGAGCATGACAGAGATAGGTAGAAACTGAACTTTTCTAAACTCAACTCATGTACCACTTGAATTGTTGAATGACCGAACCCTTGGGAGCTACTGTACATATCTTGTGACAAGCTCCGCCTGACATGTTTTTTGTAGAAACCTATCTATTAATGCCGTACTAAAACTGTTATAGCTTCATACTTTGCATACAATCTAGCTAGTGTGAGCTTCTTATAGGAAGAGCTGATTGCTATGCATTTTGATGGTTAATATTATTACTATTTGTTCGAAAAAAGGGTAAACAAATGTTCTGTTATCCCCTATATTGTAATTCAATTTGAGTTGTTAGCCACATGACTGGACTTGGTTCAAGCGACTAAGGTTGATGGACTTGTGACTTGGATTGTGAATTCAAGTCCAGCGCCATAAGAACTAGGCCTAGTATTTAAGTGGAGAATGGTAAAGGGGTGCATGCCTCAGTATCTCTGAGTTTTGAGAGTTGTAGTTGGTCCTAAAAGGTTAGCCCCAAACGGATTTCTGGGTCATCCAAAAAACAAATTCAAGCACATTTTCTGACCTTTAAGTTTATGAAAATTTGACTTTTGGTGGATAGAGGAAATTGAAATGAGATAAACTAAAAGAGCCAAAAGCTCCAAGACAAATTCCAAAAGCTATTGCCACATGGTCTACAATCACAACTAATCTTTATTTGTTGTCTCATTTACTAACTTCTTTTCCCTTCGTCTCCAGTTTTGGTTTGCATTGTTTGGGGGTTAGGAGCATTAGATGAAACATTGATATGACATAAAATTTGTGATTGACATTTTTCTACACCAAACTTCTTCTAGTTTCCAAGATTGATAACTTTTTTACTTTGAGAACAATCTAGTTATATCATCCTTTAGAGCTGGATATGGATTTGTTTATATGTATATATATATAACCAACAAGGGTGGCGGTGGGATGCATAAGATCCATCCACCCTTAATTAGAGATACATCTCAAGTTTGAGCCATGGGGTGTGAAACTAAATCTTGTGTAAAGGAGCGCTTCCCCCTTAAATGTTTACGATGCGCGGATCCAAATTAATTGGAATCCCAGTGGATGCCAAATATTGAGTGGGAAACAAAAAATGGAGTATAATTCTATCACGTGGTGTATTTATGAGTTGTTATTTTAGAAATTAATACCAAAAGAAGCGCAAAAAAAACTTGTTTCGTCCCTAGTCGCATCGATTAGCTTCAATACATGATGGTGTATTGTAAGTGACAGGTTGAACTTACTACTAAGATTCAGCCCTTGGTAATATGAGATGGAGAGTCAGAAGCAAGATATTTTGGAACAAGTGCTTCAAGGTTCTTTGTTGGAGAAGTAAGTTTTATTCAACTATATAGTATATACTTAAATCATTAAAAATTGTATAACACAATATTTGTCCATGTTATAATGCAATACTACAAGTTCATGAATATTTAGTGTGTTTGGATAATGTTGGTGCAGATATATTATCCTCAAGAAAATATTTCTTGCTTTATATCTCCCAAAATCTAGACATTACACCACATACTCCACTACTGAAATGGTACTGTTGCTGCTGCAGATATCTTATTTTTCCAGTTCAGAAGTACATGCACATCTATTGTTAAAGGATTTTAAAAAACTTTTGAATAAGATAATGAACATTAATAATAAACCACAAAATGAGATGTCCAATTAATTCTTAATGTTCACTTTTTCTATCTTGAGAATGACCTATATAATATGAATGTAGACATTGTTTTACCAGTTGATTTGATTGTTCCTATTTGGTTTCTTACGTTCTTTACATCACATTTTTTTAGGAATAGTGGTCATATAGTTCATATAAGTCGTGGCGGAGACAAAATTTTTAATGAGGGAGTTTAAATATGAAGAAGCTAAAGGGATTAAATATCTACTGTATGTACAAAAAAGTAAGCTTAATCTTGAATATACAAGGTTAGTTAGGTAGTTGAGAACTATCTCGCTTAGTCTTTTATATTAGTAGTCGTAGTGAATTTCTCTATGATATACTTGTTTTTCCTAGACCTTTTTGAAACTCATGGAATAATCCAAGCTTTACTAAAGTATTGATTTGTCAATGTCAAAACAATGGAACATAGCACATGTAATGTGAATTTAAATTTGTCTGTGCATGAAAGTTCATATGAGGTTCTTTCAATAGGTTAATGAAGACATCTCATAAACATTTGATCAATACCTTTCAACTATTTTAGCAATTATGATTGTGATAAAACTCTTTAGATGGTCTTTTAACATGTCAACTCTATTTTTTTCATTTCCAATTCTTTTTTTTTTCTGTAAGCAAATGGGGAAAAGAAGATCTTCAAACAAATACTTGAAACTATAGATCATGAAAAAAAGGTGCTCACACTCAAAGAATTTGAAGGAGATGTAACAGATAAATATGATAGTTTTAAAGCAGCTCTTCATATCGAAACAAAAGCCGAAATCGATTTGGTTAGCTGGACATTGGAGTATGAAAAGCCAAATGAGAATGTCCCTGAACTTATAAATTTGCTGAACTTCATTGTTGGTATGACAAAAGCTATTGATGATCACCATGCCAATTGATGAATTAATAAGATTTATGTTGCTCAGACTCTTAAAAAATGTCATCAGGTGCGTATCAAATTCTTTAAAAATAGTGTATTTTTGACGGATCTGATACAAATGTGACAATATTTATGAATAATCCGAGCAACTTAAGATGGGATCATATATAAGCATGTGAGCTTTACATAAATAAACTTTGCTTTGTTGTTGTTTGAAAGTATGATAAAAGAAAACAATCCTTGTTGGTTGTGTACTTTTTTTTTAATGTTTGTTGTCTTTCTCGTGTAAGAGAGATGCTGTCTACTATGTTAACATTTCTGTTGTGTAATAAGACAGTGGTATGATGTTTGTATAAATTGCTCTTTGCCTCCTCCTAATTTATATATATATTAGATGAGTTTTGCCCATGATAAGCACGAGCCCAATATCATAGTTTAGTTTCAACAAATTTTCCCTTCTAATTTTTTATGAAAAAAAAAAACATTTTTGTATCAAACACCTGCTCCAAATTTAGAGCATAGCAGTAGGAGTAAAACTTTATTTCTTAATTGAAACTAAAAGAAATAAGGATGAACATAACTACACAAGCAGTACATGAGACATGCTTTCATATGTGTTTAATATTCTGCTCTAATGAAACATGGTGAAGAACATGCTAACATTTTGTAACATTCATATTTGCGCAAAATATATGTAGCTCATAAACCACTAATTGTGCTGGAATAGAAGCACCAGTAGTTATTGTAGTCTAAGGTTGTATATTTTTAATGCTGAAAAATCATAATTCCTTGGGAAGTTAGAGCCCAACTTTTCTCTATTCATTAAAATGAATAAAGGACCTACTAAGTCGAGAGAGAAAAAAAGACACATCTTTAGTATCGTGAATTGAAGTGTGAATAAAAGCTCTTTGTTTTCATGATTTTTTTTATACATTTCTCCTAATAAAGCTATTATGTAGTCATGTAAATTCAGATATGATAAGTAGTACAAGAACATAAAAGTAACATTGGAATGTTAAAATAGTTTTCTATCAAGTAAAAGTTCGAGGTGAACAAAACTAAGTCACAAAATTATTGAAACAATTGATCATCAAATGCAAACAAGCAAATAGTAATACCTGTATTTACTTCTGGGAGATTGACAAGACAGACAATATTCATTTTTCAAGAGTCCAGCTTTAACAATAAGTTCCCTCTATTTTGCTCTTTCATGATCATACTTGGACA